GTAGTGCCTAGGGGGGGGGGGGCGGCTTGTAGTAGTAGTAGTAGTAGTAGTAGTAGTAGTGGTAGTAGTAGTAGTAGTATCAGCAGCAGCAGTGGCAGCAGCAGCAGTAGCAGCAGCAGTAGGAGTAGGAGTAGGAGTAGGAGTAGGAGTAGGAGTAGTAGTAGCAGTAGTAGTAGTAGTAGTAGTGGGAGCCGCGGCAGCAGCAGCAGCAGTTGGAAATAGTTGTTGTACCGCTAACTACTACAGCAGCCGTTGCAGTAGGAGGACCTTTAGCAAGAAAAACATCACCCACAGCAACGGCAAGTATAACAGCTGTGTCTTCAGCACAAACACAGCGATGCTGGCACCGATGCTGGTAGGTGTGTTCTAGGGCCCTCCCAGGTGCAGCACCCTGTCGGATGCTCTGCGCGACACCGCGATGTCCAAAGCTAAGAACACTGCCCAGCCTGCCCCAATCTGTCATGAGACCCCAAAGGCGGGTCTGCAAAGACGATGGTGCCAGCATGTCAAAGTTGCCACTTTGGGGTGCCAAATTTGTTTCGTGTAGGGCAACCAAATTTGCTTGGCAACAAGCTTGCGGCAGCAAGTTCCCAAGGCCGCAGGTTCAAGTCCATTTGGAAGTTTGGTTGCTTCCGAAAGGTATGTTTCCTCATCTGCAGCCAAATATAGCCAAGTCCAGCAAATTCTATGTATATTCTATATATATATATATAGACAGCTGTTCATGAAATTGTATAAGTGTATTCTGTATATATGTATACAGATATAGATCTGAAACATCTTCAAAGGCCTGATTTCTTGTAGGGCGAGGTGCACAGCAGCTTCTTATCACTGCTCCAGCAAGGCCTACACAGCGTCAGAGCATCATGGCAAGCTCGGCTGCATTCGGACTTTGGAGGATTGGAGGATCATCAGACAGGTTCTTGAGGAGATCATGCAGAGAGATGTGACGTTTTAAAAGTAGCTCTCGATCTTCATGACAGCCGGGTCAAAACCCCCGATAATTAGGTTTTATATAGAGTTGACACAATTTCTCGGCCTGTGCCAGATCGTGGGAGAACGATAAGAGTAAAACAAAACAATAAACAAAAATTAGTTATTTTGGATGGGTTTGCAGATGGACCCCACGCAGACCAAGGCTCCTAATTCATCTTATTTATATGGACTCCACATGTATCCTATTTAGATGATGTAGACCGAAGCTCCGCATGTATGCTATTTAATCGCTTCCCCTAATATTAAACGATGTCCCTGCTGATATTAAACAATCGGCTCCCGAAACATGTTTCAATATTAGGGTGGTTATTTATTGAAAAAATGGACAAGGCTGCCTGTAAAATCCGTTTAAATTCCATGAACAATTTATTGACTTGAACTGACTCATCAAATCGTCATGTATTAAGAAACTCCGTGCAAAGTGAATAATTAACTAAGTATTTATTGAAATCGAATTAAATTCCACGTAAAATCCATTGAAACCTATTAATTAGAATTCCATTACAAATCAATTGAAACCGAAATACAATCTATCTAAAAACAGTTTGAACTTAATGAAAATTTAAAAAAAAAAACGCAATTGCAACCTAATTCAAATTCTGTTAACACCAAATTGAAATCGAATTAAACTCCTCTCAAAACCCATTGAAAGCTGCTTTAAATTTGCATGGAAAACCTATTGAAACCGAATTAAAATTCTAATTAAAACCAATTGCAGCCGAATTACAATCTAACTAGAACCCATTGAAACCGAATTTGAATCCTTTAAGAGACAGCTGAAATCGAAGCAAAATTCCATTAGAACCAATTGAAAACGGATTAAAACCTAGTAAAAACCATTGAGCTCTAATTAAGATCCAAATAACACCAATTGAAATCAAATGAAGATCAATTGAGATTTGCTTAAATACGGTACATATGCTACAATGGCAATAGAAACAATTCAAATCGCCGTCAAGTCTCGTATAAAGATCCTTTGTTACAACCATATCAAAAACAGTCAATATTTAGGAAATCAAAGGGATCACCAGTTCCTTTGTATTCCTTATGATACCTCTAATCACTTCAAACCCCCCGATTCATTATTAGGTTGCCCCTTTTAAAAGGCTTCTGGATTTTTGGTCCCTTGATTTTTTATTGAATATGTGAAAATCAAAGCGCGGGATAGATCCCTAATTCTTCTTTATTTCTTATTTTACCCCCCACCCCTTAATGACTTCAACCTCCCCAATTCATTACTAGATGGCCCCTGTTAAAAGTAGTTTGCCCCTTTTAAGTGCAAACTCCAGGATTTTTAGTGCCCGGGCCTATCCGAGCCTGCTATTTGATATTAGGGGGTATTTTAATATTAGGGGAAGGGATTAAGGGTTTCTTTTGGAGGCCGCCCTATTCAGGATCTCAACAGAATGCAGGCATGCGCAGGGTCTCTGCTGAGATGTGTGCCCAAGGACACACGGCCTGAACCCCAAACCTTGTGTAGATTTTATAGCCTACTCTCATCAAAGCCTGTGATTATCCACCCGAAAGACCTTTTTTGTAACATCTGCGCTATTGGATGAGAAAACGATAAGAGCAAAAAAACGATAACGCGTTGAATTGGATAGAAGGCCGGCCTCAAGGTTTTTGGCGTGGCTCATTCAACCACTTACCATGAATAAGGATCCTAGCACTTCAAGAAGGGAACGCTGCGATCTGAATGGTAGCACCCAATTGCGCAAGCGGGCTCTCTCTGGCAAGGTTCACATCAAGTGGCCACGCGGGATGGTGAGGTTGGAAGCTTATGGCTGTCTTTGCACCAGGTAGTTCAGGTTTTTCAGTGCGCTTTTGCATGTTCTCAGTGGTTTCCTTCTTTTGCAAATGGGGCTCAAGGTTGATAGCAGGGGCGATGGCCATGGGCAGAAAAACCACTGCCCTGACTTGTACACATGTTCTTACTTCTTGCAGTCAGCTTGGCGCTTGGATCTACCAGAGAGGTAGAGGAGGACTGCTTGGAGTCTCAGCAAACGACGTTGCTACAGCATGGGCTTCACCTCGGAACCTTTGATCATGACAGCAGCATGACTTTACACAGGTTCAGGTCTCTGACACGGGGCTCGCCAGTGCTACCGTCACCGGATGTGAATGGCCGAATGTGCCTTCTTTGCGACATGCCCCCTGCAGAACGCGCGCCAGACAAGTCTTATGTGCAGCGTAGCGACTGCGGCAACCACAGTGTCTTTGAGCACCCGGAGATGGCGCTGGTCCCTTTGAGCAGATTCACGAAAGATGCCACTGCAGAGCGTAACGAAACATCTGGTTGGTGTGAGCTCAACACGGAAAAGGCTTGCGCTGATGCTCTCTACAATCAGGACTACATGATGTTTGCCAAGGCAATCCAGATTCCAAAGCTGCCCCTCGTCAATTACAGCGCTGCCTCATGGGACCAGTTTTACTGCTACTACAACGGCTGGCTGTCTCCTGAGATTAAGGCAATGCAGCACGACTTTGAGGGCATGAAGGCAAAAGGCAAGGAGTATTGCGACTCCGACGCTCTCGTCAGGCTGGGGTCGAAGGGCAACATGACATTGCATGCAATGCTGGCACGTTGGCTGCCAGCAGCACCGTTCTTTCCCGGCAGCCGGCCGTCCGTTCAGGATGCGCACTTCATTGCTGCGTGGACTTGTGCCATGGGCAGTGCGGCGTGCGACATGGCCTACTGTGCCTACACATACTGCGTGAAAGAAGACGGCTTTGGCACGTATGCAGAGTGTGCTGGCTGGGACCCTGTCAAAGGCATGCCGGTCGATTCTGTAGACTCCTAGCTCATCCCAGCATGGGACGCATCAGCTCGCGATGCCCAAGTCTCGGGGGTTGGTCGCATCTCAGCAACTACTAGCAGGCCGACGCAGTGAAAAGGAGCGCCTCAGCATTCTTGAAGTTTGTTTCGACTGCAGCTTCAATTTGCTTGCCTTGGTTCATGACACATGTCCATTTGATAATTTTGCGATGGGTGTGTCAGTAGTTTGGTGGTGAGGTTTCGCTACTAGGGAGTGCTCTTTTTATTCCTGAGGCCATGCAGCAATTCTGGGAGCAGACTGGCTTCATGTTGGCGTCAGAGTGGGAGAGGCCATGTGTTGAATCATGCTGAATGCACAGGTTTGTTAGCCTGTTTGCTTGATAATTTTGCAGGCAGTCAAAAAATGTCAGATCAACAGCGCAGGCTCCGAAACCAGCATGTTGATAGAGGGCAGTGAGGCACATGTGCCTGCCACTCAGCATGAACAATTGCTACGTATGCGCATCCCGTATAATTAGATTGCAGTGCGCTTTGCCCAGGTCCCGCCAGTGGGCCCAAGAGTGACTACTCGGGATGATGATTGTCGATCATCATGGAGGGGTGGTTGAAAAAGTGTTCGCATGTTGACAGCACGTGTTAGGGGGGGGGGGGCAGGGCGGCCATAAAATTGTTTGCAAGGATGCACGTGGTACCGCAGCTGTTTTTGTATGAGCTAGTCGCCAAGCTCCGTCCGGCACTGACGAACTTGCAGGCAACCCTCAGGGGTAGGTGCACCTGGTTGCTGAGAATTGTTGCAAGTATTTGGAGGTTCGTGGTACACGGTTTGTTTGCTTTACAGCTTGGTCGGTGTTGCTGCACGTTGCATGAAAAGTTTCTTTCCCAAAGTCCCTTAGCTATGGCGCCAGGAACAATGGCTCGCCGTTCCGCATCCATCCTCGTTTCTGCCACTCGCATTCTCAGAACTGATTTCACATGACTTGTGTAACAGGCTAGATTCAGAGGCATGCGGTGCGACTGGTTGTTGTGTGCGTTTTGGTATGGCCCCTTTCAGTACCGAGCACAGTCTTTCCGGAAGAGGTGACATTGAAGCCCTGGAGCATTTAATAGGGCTTAATAAATGACTTGTGTGCGATGGTCAGTAGCTGCGACATGATAGGGGACATCATATTAATAGTAAGACTGCAATGTTTGAAGGCACCAACGTCGGGGAAGCAAATCATGTTTCAGGCACTGTGCATCGTGGCGGCGATGTGGATGTTGTCGAGCCGACTTCTCAGATGTCAGATGAAGCCCCCTCAGCACACTCGTGGCTGCACTTTCTTCTTGTAGGTATCATGCCAACGTTATTCTCAATAATGAGCCGTCATGCTCAAGGTACCGCTTGTGATAAGCCCGAGAAAAGCTTGAACAAGTAAGGCATGGCAGCCTGGCGTGAAGATTGTTCAACTAGGTGGCAAATATCCTGTAAATACGGAATATCATAATCTGCGTGGATTGCATGTAGCAGTTGAAGGCACGGCCTTCGTGTCTGCGCCACAGACGTCGCTGCGCGGCAGTGAGGTGGCACAAGGGTCATATTCTGGGAATTGCGGCCCCAGACAAGGTTAAGCTCCACTTACTTTTGATTGCACTAAGGGAAGTTTTTAGCAAGGGAATGCAAGTGAGGGAAGCTTGTTCTGCGATGTCAGTGTTCAAAGATCGTGTTGCGCATGTTCTGTTGTTCACAACGCGAAGCTGGCCGAACCCCTTCTCACTGTACTTGAAGTGTGCCACGACACGGTCCACACGAAATGGGAAGATGCAGTTGCTTCCAAGCGCAGGGTTGTCAGCGTTCGGGCCTCAAGTCATTCAGATGCAACCCGCTGCGTTGATCTCATAGCAGGTCCCTCAGAAGCTGGAGCAGGCCGAGTTGCAGCTTGCGTGTCTCTTGCTGTTCACCACAACTCTTGATCGTCATTCCCATGCGCGTTATTTATATATACTATTCATGTCAGCATTTGCTGTGTTGTGCTCGTTAGGTTTTCCTGCCCTCGCTATCGTAAAGAATGCGGCGTCAATCCAGCCTAATCAGGGGGGAAGCCGCGTACAAGCCCTTTAATTACTTGGGCCCTACTGTAGGGCTGGGCCACCCTGAAACAGGCTGTGAGCGCACTTGAGGCCCTCGAAAAGCGTAGGCAACCTGAATGAACGCAACTTCCGAGGAGTCGACAGATGTGCAAGGTTGGCTTTGCCAGGCGAACATTGATTTGCTACAGTGTCAAATCGCTTCCGAGTATTTATGGTATTTGGCACGCGCATGCATAACTCAACCCGCAAAAGGCCTGCGATAAAAACATGTCCGCCACGAGGCCTTTACTGTAGAATGGGTTGCGACGTAAACAGTGCTAAGACTGAAGCAGTGGAGAGTGGAGAAAAACAATCTTAAAGCCGCTTTAACCCTGCAGCTGAACCTGCTGCCCGTGATGATTCGAGATCCGCGCCGCAGTAGGATGGGAAACGGAAATCACGACTAATACCATTACTTCGGGGTCAACAACCTTTGCACACTCGTCGGTGGCAGATTTGTACATGCTTTGTCCTGGTGAGGCCAACAGACGCACAGGGATGTATGGCACCGATATTAGCTTAGTAAATTTAAGCTAGTGTACCAGTATGGCGCGTACCTCACTGAGCCGACCACACGCGTCTCTGAAGGCACACCCTGCCTGCAGCTGCCATGCCAGAGTTGACGCCCAAAAAACAAATCCCAGTCGGCTAATGAAGCTATCAGCCTCAAACCCTCAACCCGTGAACCAAAAAAATGAGGCAGCAGCGCCTGCTGCGTTGGCCGTGGCCGTGGCAGCACTTCCTGAGGCTGCGCATGCTGGCAACTCCGGCCGGGTGCCCAAAACACGTGGCTCAAGGGATTGACAGGGTGGTGGGTTGACGGATGTTATTTCATGTTTGAGCCTTGCTGTTGTCATATTATTGAAGGGTTGTTCTTAGAGATATCGGAGATATTACGTGCTAGGGATTGCGGCTTAATGTGGGTCCGTATGACGATGAAGCCCGCTGGTATATGTCACATACTACTGAAAGCTGCGTGCATTTCAGCAGTTTTCCAGCGGCACTGTTGACAGCTTTCCTTCTTTGTTGCGAGAGCGGTTTGCGAGCAACGTTCACTTCCCGTGAAAGGGGAATTGAGCAACCACGAAAGCTGTAAATAACATGACGAAGTCCGAGCCCCAAAGCTTTACGGTCGCGGATGTTGTGGGGACCTGTGTCATATCAGATGCTGTATTAGTTTCGATTACGCACTGGCAACATTGATTGGTTGCTGTGTCTGCAAGGATACGCGCTGCTCCAGTTGGGTTGGGCCGTGTTCATCATCAGCCTTGGTCCGGCTGTGCTGTTCTGGACTGATGGGGTTGCACTCTTCTTGCCCTCCAGACCTGAGGATAGCTTATTCCAGGTAGGTAACGGTAATGTCGTTATTCGGGAAACCACCTTACAAACAAAACCCTGCTTCCTGTGTTGTTTGCGTTCAGTTGGGTTGCTCATCGTTTCGCGCACCAGCTTTGTCGTCGCTGCCACATGTGCTAGCACAACTTTCAGGTTGCTGTTTTTCACAGTATTGTTTACCCTGGACATTTGACGACGTCGCATGATCCACGGTCGCATCCAATGTTCTTCTTCATAGCGCGGTTGCCACATCCTGCAGCTTGTGAAGATCATATCCTTCCGGAGGACCCCTAATGATTACCATAATGCCCAACCTTTGAAGTTGCTCTGTCTGCTGCAAGGATCTACTTCAACAAGCCTGAGCTCCTGTAAGCTTTGGCTGGAAGCCCTGAGCCGGATCTAGCGTCGTCAGTTCGGAGTCTCCACACAGTCCAAGAGTCCAAACATGTATGATTCCTGTATTTGCTTTCTCCAAGGCGAAATTCTTCTATCCCCTTTTAGAAGTCAGAAAAAAGAACACTACTGTTTTGATCCTAATCCCTCAAGGTGTCGTGTCTCAACATTGGTTCTTCAGAACATAAAATTCTGGAAAACTATCCAACATGTTGGCGGATGAATTTGGCGAGCACCTTCGTGCTTCAAAACCCATATGGTTTCTTGTCAGCTTACCAAGGCTCTGAAACCAGCAGCACCTTGACACAGCGCTTCCAGGCACCGATGTATAACAGCAGCGGGATCACATTTGTTGAATGAAGAACAATGGTCGCACCGCACGACAAAAGCCATGTTTATCTCCTTGCTTCGATGGGAGAGACACGTATTGCAATTAGAGCAGCAGCGATGGTTTGAGAACCCTTGGTAGGCTTCAGGCTCAGTTGACTTGTGCAAGCATAAGCTTTCAAGATGTCAAGGGTTGTGAAGTTTTGCTGGTCCACCTATGAGACTGCATGCGTTATGTGACCGACAGTTTTTGCGGCTGATTCATGTCACGCTGAAAGGCTTGCTTTTGGACAATTTGATGGATAAGGCATGTCCAGGACCTGCATAACGTAAACAAAGCTGCCCACCGGAGGCTTGCCCTGACAAACCCCTGGACTCAAACATGTCGCAAATCGCCAGGGAGTCCAACGGCTAGCAGTGAAAGTCATTGCTTTGCCAGAACCCTCAGAAGCTGAGGCTGAGCCGTTCGTGGCGGACAGCAATTTAAAAAAGAAGTAGCCAACATTCAGTACATGTCGTTGTCGTGCTTTGCAACTAGCACTTTCAACTTTGGCATCAGCTTCATGCGAACTCGTGGTGCCCGTATGCAGCTGCTAGAGACTCAAAGAACAAATCCAGGCAGGCACTCCGAAATTCGTCGGTGTAGCAAGATGCATGGCGTGCCAGAGGATCGAGAAGCTGAAGCTTCCCTCATGCTGGGGACGGCAGGGACAGTGCAGATGATTCGGGATTGGGTTGAATCAAGCTTGAACCCTGAAAATGCGCACAAATTTCCACCCCCTGGGGCGTGGGCTGCACACTTCAATGTGCATTTGTCACTGGACATGTGGGTGGAGCTTCAAGACTTTGTCAAGGCATCGTCGTCCATGTCTGGTTTGCAGCTCAAGTGCGTGGCATCAGACAGCCGAGGGCTGTGCGTTGAAGCTCTTCAAGTGCTGATGACGCAGCATGCCAGGGCACAGTATCAGTACGCAGCACGTGCGCTTGAGCTACTCCAGATGCCGAGTCCTGATAGAAGTTGGGCCCAGGATGGCATCCGCACGCCAGAACCCAGGGGCACGCGTGAAGCTCCTTCTACACCGATAAAGGAGCTCGAGTTGACTAAGAGAGGGAAGAGATGCAGGCATACAACTGAAGATTCAATTCCGGACTTCAAGCGAAGCAAGGCCAACGACTCTCGGTCAATCAAGCCCCTGACCCGAGTGAGAGGGCAAGAGGTGCCTGCGGATTTGCAAGGCATCTTTGTTGCGAAGGAGGGCTTGAATAATGCTTTGGCCACAGGGAACTTGAAGGAGACAGTGTCCTGGCTGAAAGGCCTTGGCAAACGGAAGGTTGCAGCCCACGAGCTCGAGAAGACCCGCATCGGCCTCACGGTCAGCTTGTGCCGAAAGCAGGCTGATCCCTATGTGACCAAGCTGGCCGATTTGCTGATCCAGAGGCGCCGGCAATCATCCAATGCATTGTGGAAAGCATGTGTGTATGACCAAATGTGCACGGCATGTGCGGATGCATGCAACAAATTGTGTTCTCTTCGGAGGTGGAAGCAGTCCTGGCGACTGACAAAGCAACTGAGGCAGGACCTGCAGCGTAGCTGCTGAGTAGGTCTTGGGTGGGACATCGCAGGCCTCAGGCATGGGAGGGTGTCCTGAAGTGGCCAGTCCCAGCCTTAAGCCATGGGGAAACCAGCCAGACCCGATACAGGGGTTATGGTATCGGGTCTGATGCACATATGATTGACTGAATCAGTCATGACGTGTTTGTGCAAGGCTTCTTTGGGCCAAGTTTCCGAGAACTGGATATTCGATTAAGAAGCCCCGCCGCCACGAGTTTTACGGGCCTTCGACAGAGCACAGTCTGGATCGCTTTGAAGTTGTGGAGTGAATGGCCTAAGCTGTCATCCATTTGCTCCTGTCTCAGCAGCCTGAATTCAAGCACGTAGGTTGCCATAGATCAAAACAAAGCGCTCCACCACTCAGCAGGCTTTGCAAGTAGCCCCAACTTGAGGTGTTTTTGATGGGAAGCTCTCGTCCGCGCGCACCGCAGAGTTTAATTTGCTCTTGACCAAAGTTGGCATTGACTTCAAGGCAACAACAGGTGCGGACCAGTGGTCATAATATCTCTGGCATGCGTACAGCAATAAGGACCGGCATGTGGTAGTACATATTGGGGAGTGGCGTGATGTCAAAGTACAGCATGCCGAGAAGAGCTGCGCTGTCAGCCCGAAGAGGCTCGACTGGCAACTGAGTGCAGCTACCTTGTTGAAATGTTTGTGGGGTGTAGTGTAGCCTGCAGTGATCTAGGAGTTTAACTCTGTTTGACCTGGGGCTAGTCAAGACACTTGCTATTCGGCGTCCAACGCATGGAATGGAATGTTGAATCGAAGCAGGAGCCTTTTTGCTCGGCAGCCTTTTGCTGGCGGGGCGCTGGGTGCAAAGTCGACGGCTCAGATGACTGAAGTTGTGCTGGAAGAACGAACGAGACAGCAACGCATACTACAAATTTCCAAGTGCCGCTGGTCCAGCAGCGACTTGCTCAGATTGAAATCCAATAGAAGGATTCAACCCGACCGACACAGCTGCAGAGCATAGGTCTTTGGGTGTGTAGCCTGCCCCTATCCCAAAAATCCGTAAAACTGGACAGGCTTTGCGTTGAACATCCTCCATGGGCCCTGTGAAAAGTCACTTTCGGAACAAATAATCTTTCAAGAGGAGAACCACTAAGATAACAGCCTTGGCTGCCTGCAGTTACTTAATGGTAGTTGCAATTCATGTTCCGTTCGATTTGCCATTTGATTCCGGTAGCATAGTTCTAATACTGTCCTAATACAACCCTTATATAGTCACGAGAAACAATATACATCAACAATATATATCCTTATAGAATCCTTACTTACATACATTCCCATTAGACCCCCGAAAATACTATAATGTTGAAAAAAAGGAACGCCCAAACGGTACCCCGAGTTTTTTGTGAAACCCGCCAACAAACATCCCCATAGAATTCCTAACCTTAGATCCAAACCCTAATTGTTGCGTCATCCTGGTAGTGGGCCAGGTCCCACCGCAGCCTTCGCGGCACCCAAAGCCAGGGCCCAAAGCCGGCCCTTTGCAGGTCCGCACAGAGGCTGGCCGATGTTCAGTATTTCATCCTGAGGGTTGTTATTTAACACCATTGTTATGACTGTTCTTGTTACTATGAGTATTATTCTCACTCTTACTACTGTTAGTACTGTTCTTCTTACTTTAATTGCATGATGACTATTACTATTGCTATTAATTACTATGGAAGTTTCTGCCCTGGCCGTAATCTTGCTTGGATGCGTTCTTTGAGGAACACTTCCACTGTATTTTTTGGCAGCTCATGTGGCTAATCCTCGTAGGAAGGTTTGCGGCGGCATGTTGAGGGCATTGCCCTGACAATGCTTCACCCCAAACTCCCCCCAAAACGTCCCTAACCCCAAAACTTGCCAACTGGCTTGCATTTCCTGTTTTGTTGTCATGGCAGCTGATCGCACTTCTTCGATTTGATGGAAACACAGGGCAGACAAATCCCAAGATTGGGAGATACATTTCAGATCTATCTACCCCGCCCTTGGGAACCCTAAAGCGCGGGCAAGCGGCAAAACTTGATGGCCCCTTACGTAGACAGAATATGGGATGTATGGGGATTGTAGTATGACACTGGGCAATTCTGTATTCTATTTATTTAAGGAGGGCTATAACCTTATATCCCAAACCCTAAACCCTGTTCTATCTACTTAAGGGCGATCTTATAAGCTGAGGAAAACCTGAGGATGCCCATGCTCTGCCAGGAGGCTCCAGCCAAATCTCGCGCGAAGCGCAGCCACCGGCATCTCAGCTGGAGGCTGCTGGGGTTGAGCTCCCCAAAAGGATCCAGGGTCATATCTATCCCCCATGAACCCCAGAGCTGCGCAAAGGGACCCAGTTCTTCAATTCGAAGAGTCGAGCGCAGGGACGGCAACAAAGCAACCTTGCCATCTCAGAAGGTCTCACCTGCTGGGATCATGTCAACTCCTGAGAAGTTGGCATCTTTTTTGAACAGATCTTGGAGTTCTGAGCGATGCGCAGTAAATCTCATGGTTCAGAGGAGCCCTGAGGCTTTCTGTCGGCAATGAGCACTTAAAAGTCCAAAGTCTCCAAGCCCTGGTCTGGGCCAGGATGTTGTGGCCAATGCCCGCAGCATGATTTTCGCTGTCTACCCCAAGGGCCCTCAGGCGTTGGCACTCGCTTTTGGGACATTGCAGGTTGCAAAGTTGGGGGAATTTGGGGTTTGTGGCCTGGCTTGCTCTGCCGTGTCACAGTGACGTGGTCACCCTGTTTCCCTCTACTGGAATCGCTTTGTTCAAAGTTTCCTGTTTGCTGAGAAGGATTTAGCTTGTCACCCTGTGAGCAAAATAGGGCAAGTAGCCCTGCCAACATGTTTGGGAAGCTAAGTTGCCGATTCATTAGTCACGCAGCCACGTTGATACAAGTTTGATTTTGCTGCAGGTGATGACCAGGTGCTTCAGGAAGTAAAGGATATTGTAAGGCCCTCGATGCTGCAGGCAGCCTGGCGCAATGTGCTCGCAGGTTTCGCAGTCGCCCTTGCAATGATCCCAGTGCCTGGGACTCCAGTCATGTTTAAGGGCAAGTTTACCGGTTTATGGAAGATTTGACCGCGGCCTTAGGATTTGGGAAGTCTCGGCATGGTCTACTGATATCGTGACCGGATTCTTGCACGCTGAGGAGTCGGTTGCCTTTGCCTTTGTGGCCGGCGTGACTCCAATTGTCGGCCTATGGAGCGCAGCTGCTTGGGTTAGCAAAAAACCCATGACGCCTGCAAGGCATAGGAATATCATAGCTCGCCGTTGCCACTGTGAGGCATCATGCGGCCAAAGGTTTACTTGGTTTACTTGCATAGTGCAACAATTGAGGAAACGCACAATGTGAGATCAGCAAACAGGGACCCCCAGTATAAAACCGCGTAGAGCCCTACAGCCCCAATACCAAAGCTTAAACATCCAGCTGCCCAGGGGAGGGGAGATTTTACGCACAAAAGGTGGACTGTTTTACTAGCTCCTTCATGGCTTCTGGTTACCAGGACCCTCCTTATACCTTTGAATAGGGATATATGGTGCCTAATAATGGGTATTGAGGGTATATAGAGAGGAGGTGGAGGGTCTAGGTAATTAGTGACGTTCAAGGATAAAGGGTACCTCTAAAGTTTATGTCGCAATGAACTCTTGAAAGACTTGTCCAACCTTTTTGTAAAGGTTGCTATCATCCTTTGCAATGCTTTGCAATCTGTAGCAATCTTATGGATCCCGAAACGTACTTTGGGATTCTCATTTTTCCTAAGTTCATCAGTCCTGGTGGTAGTTTCTACAAACAGGGGGAACCCCATATAACCCCCTACTGTGGGGATTGTATCGGGGCACGTATAGGGCGATTGAAAACTACGAACTTGAATTTGGTGGAACTCCCCTGAAGGACTTTGTCATCTTTGGGCTACGGTACGGGACTAAGAAATTAGAATGCAGTATATTACCCATTATAGTAGTTTCCATTTTATTTTTATATAACCCCATAGAACCCAAGGGTTTAGGGGGTTATACCAGTCCTATGCCATGAGAAGCAAAGTCGCTTCGACAGGTGAGCAGAGATCAACCCCTCCTTACTTAGAATAAGACAGGGGCTTTCAGAAACAAGGTTTGGCGTAAGCAAAGTCTTGTGTTTTGTAAGGTATCGTAAGCAATTGTGTAGCAACGTTGTTGCCGTAAGCATCGTAAGCGTTTGCGGTTGTTGGTGTTGCTTTTTATCTCCCAAACGAAATGCAGTTGCAGCAAGCTGGCGTAAGCGGCGTAAGCAGAAACGACAACGAAGTCGTGTCGTAAGCAAAAGCTGAGAAAACGTAAGCTACCGTAAGCAGTTCTTTTCCGAAATGAAATAGGAGTAGGGTTTCGGGCATCGCTCAGGTTGCGCTCGGCTTTTTTGCTGCAGCTTTCGGCGGCCGCGCCGGTGTTGCCTCTGGAGCGGCGGGCTCCACAGCTGTGGCTTGGGTTCCGATTTAGGATTTGTAATTTGGAGGTCTAAGATTTCGAGTTGGGAGTGATGACGATACCAGATACGTCTCAAAACTCGGTGTTCCTCGAAGATTCCACCAAGCAGACCATGATTTGAGAAACGCTTTGATGATGATAATTGGCGGCAATGATGCAAGTCCGATAGCTTGTGCTTGGGACTCGTATTTTGAGAATTTTAGTCCAAAACGGCTACAGCATAGTACAGAAGCATGAGGAAGACCTGTCATGCAAGGAAAGCAAGGAGGGGTACGTAGTCCGATCAGGAAGACGAAAATTAAGGGGGCCTAGTTGTATATACCAGTTGCACCTTTGTGGGACGCATGCCTTGGAAGGTTATAGTTCGCAGTGCCAGGTGCTTGGCGAGGCTTTCATGTTGCAATTGAAGTCGCATGGGTCACGCGGTAGCAATGGTGTTTTCTTTGCACATTTGCCACCTCCCTAGTTCTGGTGTTATCGCCAGAGCTGTTCTGAGCAAATGCTCCAGGTTCCAAACACTGGCAGCTGAGGTAGTTATGGCAGCACTGGTAGCGAGACACGGAACTACATACTTGAGACCTGGTGGGCAGTCAATGCTTTCCGACCTGAGGCTGTCCATGCAAGGCGGCATTAAAGCGAAGGTAGTTCTTCGCTAATTTGGAGGGTGAGCCGCACTACGCCTGCATTTGTGATGACCGGTTTCTCATGATCCTCGGAACGTTGCAGATTGCAGCGCCTTTGATGATACTTTTGCCGTCCAAGGAGCGCGGCCGTTCTTCTTGCTGGCTGCCTGCAGATTTTGGCAGGCGAACGGAAACTTGGGCATATAGACTATAACAAGTTACTATAATAATACATCATAAGATACTAGAATAATATACTACATCACTCTAATTGGGGTGCGGCATGATGCGGCAGGTCAGGTTGTTTGCCATGCTTCATCAAATCAAGCTGATGGCATGGTGGGCGTGCTCCTAGTAGTGCTTGTCAACAAACCTAATATACTATAAGTATATAGTATAATATATTATACTATACTACAGCAGGCTAGTAATATAGTATGTTTTATTCTAACATACTAAAATATGTTATGATCTGTTATTACAAGCCCTGGAGTGCTTTCCTCGCGATCGGTTTACAAAGTAAATGGCTTGTTCATGGTATGTCAGAGTATAGTGTACTATCTCATAGTATAGTATATAGTATATAATAATATATAGTATATGATTATTGTATATCAAAGTATATTGATACATACTATAACAAATTATTACAGTAGAGCCTTGCGCCTCAACAGAACCATGTCAAGCCAAGTCTTGATAACTTGGGCCCAGCCCTGGCCGGCAGCCCGGAGGTCTTCTCCAGTGGGGCAAGTTCATCAAGCTCGTTCCGCATCCAGTGATGCTGGGCTGCTTGACTACCAAGATTGCTGAAACCAACTTTGAAGCCCCAGGGGGTTGTATTTGTTTGGGAGGCTGGTTTGTCAAAGCAGCTTGCATATAGGTCCGTCCGAACACCTCAAAGAGCAGTTGGCCCCCCTCCGCCAAGGATTTGTGAATGGTTTGGCCATTGTCATTGGCAAGGCGCACCCCGGTCGCGGCAGTTTTCACGTCACAGCCACACACATCCCATCATTTCATTCTTGTTCGAAGCTGCTTTATCATCATCATAACTAACTATGAGTGTTAGCAATGACTTTGATTTTTTCTGATTAGAGACGCGGAGAGCCTGAACCTGATAAGGCAATTGAGCCACTTCCTGGATCCGGCCACTGGCTCGGTGCTGTTGGGCGTGCGAGGCGCCGTTTGTAGTGTTGCACTCCGCCAAAGTTGCACGACATGATAAGCTGGTTCTAGTATATGCAGCTTACATAAAGAGAGAGAGAGGCCTCCCTGGTAAGCATGAAGCACTCTGTGTACATGGAACTGGAGCTCCAAGATCGGGCCTTTGCTTTTGCTTGTCGATTGCGTTGCCTCTCTAAAGTCGTTTTACAGTTTCAGAAGTTGGGACACTTAGTCAGACAGTCCCCTGCAAGGGGCCACGATGTTTGGCTTGACAGCGCTGTCCATGCTCCTGGTGCTGTATCTGCATGAAGCACAGTTTGTTGGCCGCTGCAGAGGGTGCTCAGACTCCACAAGTCAGAATTGTAGCCTGGCACTTCATGCAGCAGATCTCTACGATGAGCAAAGAATGTCCTTTTTGCTGTTCGCATATTCCGACTTACGCGCCGGCATCGCGTGAGTTGGTTGTCCCATGTCTGACAGAATGTGGAAGACATTGCTGTTCAGGTGAAGCTGCTGCCTCGAGTCACAACTGCAGTGCCATCGTCACTGCTGACCGTGGCGATTGTGACGCTGCTTACAAAGGTCTGGGAGCTTACGGAAGGATGCAAGTGCACGCTGGAAAGATACGCAGACCCTGTTGGCTTGTGAGGCTTCTCTAGGTGTAAACTTGGCCAAGCTAGCATGCAGTGAACCCAGAACACCAATCAACCAAGCTGTCGCCCAGCAACTCAGAAGAGCCCAATGCTCCAGGTTTTTCATTTGTGCCTTGGCTTAATTCTCCAGTTGCCCATGAAAATTCAAGCCGGTTTGAGGGTTTTGTTTTGCTTGGTGGCATTATCTCAACGTCGAACTGTAATCATGTTTGATCGCTGAAGCTCTGGTTGTCTTAGCTGGAGCAGTTGGGCATCCCAGGCCAGCAACTACATTGATGGACATGGCCGGTGCAGAAACCTTTCGTGGAGGCAGCTTTGCCTTTCAGCCTACTGGCGTGTTGAATGTTTTTTGCAACATTGGGTTGCTTTCCTGCGGGGGCTCCCAATACGAAGGAAGAGTGCTTGGGGATCCATGACATTGGGTGAAGCAACCGTTTCTGCGCCTCAGGTAGGGACCCCATGATACAAGGCCCCGCGCAGCATGTTTGACGCAGGACTATCCTCAAAGATAGGAGGCCTTCCCGAACTTTGGCAGATGCCTACTCACTGCAGATGCTTGCCGGGGGGGGGGGGGCAGGGCGGTCACAAAATTGGCACCAGGTAATGAATCTAGACTCATCTAAACGGTACAAGCAGTAGTGTTGCTTTTGATGCGACGGATATTCATCTCTTTATAAGGGGAGTCTCACAAGAATGTATGGGGCAGATAAGTGAGAGGCCTCAGCTTCCAAAAACGCAGCCGTTTTTGGATGCCCCCACTGTTTACGAGGACAGTAGCTCAGAGACCCACACGTCCTACGGAAAAAAAAGTCAGGTTCATTTTCTTGCAAGCACCTCCAGACAAGCTCGATACGCTTATGAATACACAGAGTCTCGGTACAACATCCCTTGCAAATCATGGAACAATCTTCTCCAGAGCGGCCTTAATCCTTAAGCATAATCCGTATAAGATGAGCGCCAATCTCAGAGATTGCATCCTAAACATGAAATGATCCATGAAACCGCGACCCCGTCCTTAAAACTTGCCTACTGTTGCTACCAGCTACCAGGTGGTTTATTACTATTTATAGCTCATAGATTGCTGAAGGATTGTTGCTGTTGTTACTGCTACTACTATTAGCAGTTGTGCCAGGTTGGAGCATGCTGCCGCACTTGGGGCTGCCAGCGGCTGCTTGCCTGAAAGCTGGTGACGAGTCAGAATGATGGGCTAGGAAAGGGCATGCAGGTAGTGGCACTTAAGCATTCTACGGGAATCAGAACTTGCATGTTCGGACAGCACTGTCAGAGGTTCCGCGTGAATTCAGTGGTATTCATGGAGTAATGAGTCCATCGGTTGTTTCGCTGATTCTCGAGGCGTACCACCAAAAGGGAAGATCGGTTTGACTCGAAATGCTCTTAGAACACGGTTGAATAGTTTCGGTTTTGCCGGCAGTGCTGTCGGCAGCGCTGTTGCCAGAGCTGTCGGCAGGCCGTGTAAGAGCCTGCAATCCTGTGAGTATTCTGCCTTGACGCTCATTATTCGAATCCGTTTGCTGCTGCATGCGATGTTTGCTTGCTGGCCTTCCAGTCAAGATGAGCTTGGTCCAACTTTTGCAATTCTGAGTGCTGCCAAGCTCCAGGTACCTTGGCTGGCCAGCCCACTTCAAACTTTCAGCATTCTACTGCCCTACGCTGCCACGATGGCCGCTGTAGGCGCGGCACGGCACTCAAAGTGCAGTGTGGATTTTCAACTCAGGGTGTTCACGTTGAGGAATTCGCTGCTGAATGCGCAGACGTCAGGGACCATGTTGGCATGAAGTATGAGCCAAGTTTGACGCATCATGTGGAGGTTTGGTGGAGTCGCTGTTGACGCTGCAGCTGGTGGATGGGCTAATGGAGGCGCCGACACTGCAACAAGCTTCTGATGGTGTCAGAAGCTGACATGCTTCAAGGGAATGCCCCAAACATAGAATTCCACTGCAGATCAAAACGAGCTGAGTTGCAAACATCATGTGACATGCTGTTACTTTTTCTGGCCGTGTTTGCGTCAAGAAAGTGTTTGGTGTTTGCTACTCATAGAGCTCACACCAAAGTCTAATAAGTCACCCAGAGTAAATGTCCGCAGATGGAGCCATGACAGCACAGGTACTTGCGGCCGTTTTGACAGAGATGACTTTGACAAATTATAGCAGGCATGCTGCCTCAGATCATTGCAGGATGGGAAGAGAGGCGACACTTCCAAGGAGCGCGGGGCATTGTGTCTGGCTCCAACATGATGTTCAACACGCTGTCCTTGTAGAAGGGGCTTCCTAGGTGGGGCGCTTAAGCACTGGCATGCAGCATAAAATGAAGGTTGGAGATCAATCACAGATGCAGCGCCTGGTTGATTATTCTGTTAGTCGCTGTAAGTAATTGTTTGACTCGGTAGAATCCTGGAGTTCTGCCTGAGCTAGGCCTGGGCATGAGCAAGCTGATGTTGTGACTTTAGTGCCAACATGTAGCAACAAATTCTGATGGTGCTGGCCTTGTGAGATGTTTTTGGTATATGTGCCGGGTTCGACGGTCTCAGTTAGAGTTTTGAAGCCATGTGTTGCTTGATAATCCAAATAATCCGTTGCTTAAGAAATGAAAAAATGTTTGTGCGAACCGTTTGTTCTTGCGAGTGTGCGCACTGCCGTCAGCGCGAGGAGTGCATTGGCCAGGGCATTGGCAACATCGCCAGCGGCCTCACTGGCGGCATGGGCGGCTGCGCAATGATTGGCCAAACGCAGGCATTGAGCTAGGAGATATGCCCTGCTCGGATAAGCATAGATGAGGTTTATCAAGCCCCAGCTGCAAAAACTTGAGCGTGCTGAGACTGTGGATGCAATGCGATCGATGAAGCAGGATGCTCAACCAATGTAATTATAGACAACAGAACCGCGCATATATCCTGCAGGTGAATGTCCAGGCTGGTGCTACCTCACGATTGGCAGGCCCGCAGGAGTTGGGACAGCAATGAGCCATTGAGCCCGGTCGTTCTGCAAAACTTGAGCGAATCTTGAGCGAATCAGCTGGTCAGGCAGGTTGTTTCGCGGCAATAGGTGTCAACAGTTGCTTGAGAACTTACCATAAGGCTCTGAGTGGCTGTGAGTTACAGGGTAAGTCTTTGTAAAGATGCACATGGGACCGTTGACTTGCAGAGCGCTCAGATGCTCAAAGAACATCGTTATCAGCAGAGTACGGTGTACGCCGGTGGAGGCAGTTAGGCAGTTCAAGCATCTAAACAGGATTTGGAGGCGTTTTTGAGTCGAAGGTGGTTGGGTTCTTTGAACCAAAGCCTGATGCCTCCTTTTGAGGCATTGCCTTTTTCACTTTGGTAAGCACTCATTTGGGCATACCTTTTCACGATGGTGCAGATTTTTCTGTGGCTGCCCTGACTCGCCTTCAGGGATTTCAATGGCCTGCTTTCTGGGCGTGGGCATCGTCGGCGCGGCGCCTGTGCTATTCCCTCAGACACATGATCAGATTTTTAAACTCTGGTGTCCACCATGTCCACGCTCCTGGCAGGATCCCAACGGAGGGGAACCCAAAGCTGTGAGACGCCCCCACGCAGCGCATGCCCCCTTGTTATCATGCAGTTGCTGGATTTTGCCGGTGCAGTCAGTTATGATGATTCCTGAGCTCTTTTTCATCGCAAGGGCATGATTAATTGCTCACAACAAGCTCTGGTTATTGTTCCTGCTGCAGCACTTTATGCGGAGTCAACACGCGCCACCCTGCCCTGCGCTTGCTGGCCCAAGCCCCTCGGCCTTTGGGCTTAGAAGCTGCTATCGGTAGCTGAGCTAGCGCATAGCAAACATGAGCGCCGTTCTTCCTGGCCAGGTCCACATGTACAAGAATCGGAACATAGCGAGGTCTCACCCTACAAGCCACACCCTTAGCGACTTGGAGCTCTGCTTACAGGAGGAGGATGTGAAGATCAAAGACATGCAGGAATCGACCCCCAGGCGCAACCTCAGGCAACAACGTGAGTTGCGGCTGGCGTTTTTCTTGCGGACATATGGCTTCAGAGACGTAGACAGGATGCAGCAGGGAGGCTGCTTTTCCTTTAAGGAAAGGCTTTGTCCCCTGCACATTGCCGCTGCACAAGGTGATAGTGATATGGTTCGAATCCTCCTGGCAGCCGGGGCCGATGCCTCGCAGAAGACATCCAAAGGCCGCACGGCATTAGAGATCGCGGAGAGTAGATCTTACTTCGCTATCGCAGACCTCCTACGCGGCGACGTCAAGGTTGTGAGCGTGCGCCAGCTCTCCAAGCTGCGTGCACAGAACTCGGAGTCCTCGGCAGACGATGTGTGAGGGGACCTTTGAGGCTCTCTTTGGCGCCTAAAGACTTTGGACAGCTCAGGGTAGGCGCTCAGATTCCAAGGCAAGGGTACGAATCAATTGTGTTATCATGACAACAGATTCAGTACAGTAGGACAAGCGCAGCTGTGTGTCATATATATATATATATATATATGTGTGTGTGTGTGTGTGCGTGTGCGCTGTGCTGCAGCTGATGGATGCTGATGGTTGCTTAGACCCTCCTGGAAACTGAGCTTCCTTCAACGGAATAATGCGGCGAGAAAGCTGTGCTGGGTTTGCAATGTTTGCACGCCCTCAGCTTCGTCGACCATGCTCGCTCATTTGCAGCTCAACCTGACTCCCGCAAAATTATCGAGGCCAGATACTTGAGATGTTTGTTCTTCGTGTGTTCGAAGTCCTTACTCGCAGATCCCTGCAAGGATTATCTGCAAACCATTCAGAAGAGGTCCATAAAGCAAAGCGGTTTTTCTTGCATGGCGAAGCACAGTATGTAGAGAGAATTTGGCTTGCAGAGCGGGCATTGGTCATCTACTTGATTTTCCTCCAATACCTCAACGGCTGCCAACACATGAAAGCATTGCTCAGGATTTGTTAGGCCTCAAGTTAGGACCCCGCATTGCAATGCTTATGATAGGAACCCCCAGAAGGGACTCAGCTTTGAGAACCACCACTTGGCAGCTGCCCCAATCATTCTTCCGGCGAGTTTTGCAAAACGGGGAAGGCTCAGATTCCGCTTCCCCAGCGTTTCAGGTGGGCCACTGACAGGAGCTACATCACCGCTCGCCCCAGTATCTTTGTAGCATTTCCCGCGGTGGGGATAGTATAAGATATCCAAAATAGACGACGGCTGGCAGTCTGTTTTCTCCATGTGTACCATGCCATACCATTATAGCCCCGGGTGGCACTGGCTTTGCGCCCAGCTGGAGGCCGACCATGATTTACACACCTCTGATGGGATTAGCACTGCTGGTGAGCAGCCAGGTAACGAACAAAAAGAACGGAGCTGGGCAAAACAACAACAATCCGCTTGTTCGTATTCTTTTTACTACTACTGTAAGTAGTATTACTATTTCTAATAATCAACCATCAGGCATTCCGGAGGGTGCAGCTCTCCAGCGTAAGACGTGATGGAGAGCATGCTTTTGCGCTGAGGCCCTAATCATGGCCGCGCATTAGTACGTTTCTTGAGCATGATGCTTGTAGACGCTTTCCTCAGTTCTCAGATATACATCTCCGTCCTCCAGTGTACTGCTGAGAGGCCTATCGGCTGGCACCCCCCATTCCGCGGCTTTCCTGGATGTTTGGTTAAAGTCACTAACGCCATTTCAGCTTGTATCCTAGCAACTCGGAGTTGTGCCTCGGACCCCAATTCCTGCTGAACTGTCACAACGATATGGGCTTCGTAGAGCTGAAGTGGATTCCTTGGTGGAAGCCAGAGGGGGGGGGGTTACAAGTGCATTTGCCTCCCATAGCTGATGGAGCTCATGGATTTTCCTGCATCCATGACCTGACTAAGTTCCGGATTCAAAAGATCATGGCTGCCTGATGAGGCTTTGGAAGAAGGCTCCAGGCACCAGAGATCCTCTTGCAAGCCGCCTCACAAGGACTGCCTTGGCAGTTTACATTGGTTATTTATGGGGCGGCCTGCTTTTCCACGCAACGAGCAAACATCACTTACAGCCTTGCAACTCACTGGTATGTTTTCATGAAATTCCTCCCTCGGTGCAAACTTTGAGACCAAGTGACGGAGGGCAGACTACCCAAGAGACTATCACACATTTGGCTGAAGGTGTTGCATTGGTTGCGTTGCGTTACGTGGGACACTGTCTTGCTGTGTTTTGAGCACACCCCTGCTCATTCCATGGGCCAAATGGGCATGACGGCATTTTTATTGTTGCTATGAATGGTACTCTGAATCATAATACTCGTGCCATCAGGTAGGCGCATGTTGCTACAATGATTTTCCGTGCTGTTGCTTTGCAAGCCACAGCAGAGACGAGCGGATCAGAGCAATGTAGAGGTACTGCCGTGCGTGTGAGCATCCGAGGAGTGGTCGTCATAAGCAAGAACTCTTCAGCATTGTTATAAGTAGTACTTGTCGTTAACGGCAAGGAGTGTATGACCATTACTTATCACTGCTAGGTATATTGACCGAAGAGTGCCCTTTGGCAGCGTCCTAACGCTCAAAAACGCTAATCTGATTAACGATGCGACATACCTCTGTAGCATGCATGATAGCTGACCGTGTCATTCCGGTGTTGGTGCCTGGAATTGTGCAAGAAGAAAGTACTCCTTGCTCATTCCCTGCCTGAAGCTTCTACAGTTGGGATGTAGTGGTTTCCCGTTTGCATGAAATGTGAATTCAGGGTTTATGTATGAATGCAGAGGAACAGCAGCAGTTGGAGTCGTCGCGTTGCTAGCGGCAGCAGTACAAACAAAGCTATCCATAGTCATGATATGAGGGCCGCTGACCATTTGGCAAAACCCATGCTATCAGGGTGCAAGATATCATTCAATTTCAGGTGGTGGGCCATAGGGAGCCAGGACAAGAGGGGTCCCTGCCGAGAGCTGAGAGCTGCTTTTAGCATGGACTGGGCCAAGACCTTTGTTGTTCCTCTGATTTATTGCTGGGACCCCTTACAACCGCCCCGCCGCCATCATGAAATTTTCTTCAACAAAAAGACATTTCAGCTTTGTCCGAAAAGAGACCAGTTTGAGCTGACGCATAGCATTTGAGCGGCGGCAAGGGTTGGATGCAGGTATGCAGGCGCTTTTTGCAGATCCGTCATTTGCAACCTTGTCTTCAACATAGGGAAGCGGGAATCGCATGTCTACCTTGAAACAGGCACAACCTAGGACCTAGAGCTACTCTTGAACTTCTTCTAGAAGATAGCTGTCCCTGTCGAACTTGTATGTTTCGAGGTTGTGTCTTTTTCACGAGACTGCTCGGTAGCTTCCCTAAATAGGGGAACCCACTAGGGGAACCCATTATGGGGACCCCCACAAAGATGCCCTAATTTCAGGAAACCCTAAACCCTTAAACCCTAAACCCTCCATGTGATGCTGTCACATCAAGGCTTGGACAAGTTCCAGTGGCAGCCCTGGTTGGCATCATGCTTCTTGGCCCAGTTGGGCAAGGAGTCTCCGGGTTAAGAGGATCTCCTTTTTGTTAGAAATGCTGGTTTCCCAAAATTAGGGGGGGTCCCTTGTTCTGAGGATTATAGTAATTACGGGTCTATATTGGGGTCCTCTATTTCGGGAAACTATCAGATGCACAAGGGCCATTATCATGGACCTGTCCTGTCCTACGGAACTCTTGATGACGAAGCCAATTCAAACAAGGTAGCCATCCAAAACATCATTCCCTTACTCGTATTTCCATGCTTGACAAAAGGGTTCTACAAGTTGAAGGAATTTGGCATGCGCGCTGATACTTCAAAGCTTGTTCTCAAACTCACTGTGTTCACCGCACGGACTACGAGACCTTGACATGGTGCAAAGTCAAAGACTTTGCGGAGATTGTGGGGCTGCGTCGTCATGCTTTGTAACATTCCCACCGTATTCTTACTGGTCCAGTGGTGGTACCCAAACTCAAGAGGCCTTCGTGTGCTAAGCCAGGTTTGTAGTGTGCCAGTCGACGTTCGCTTGGTCCAGCCTTCGGATCATGAGCCCCTCGGCCTGCGGCCACAAGAGCCTACCTGGTGTGGAAAACCTGGGCAAGGCTTCTGCATAGGATCACATCCATGCTGTATGATGAAGAAGCACTGCGTTGGATTCTCACAGCGGTGGAGCGAAAACTCTGAGTAAGCCAGTCGAGTTCTCAGCAATGACCTGCTTGGCCGCTACAAACACACGCAGAACAGCTGCCTGAAGAAGTGCCCGGCAGCCCCCTTGAACGAAAATATGAGCCACGGATAGGTGTCAAGCTTGAGCTACATTTGCACTGATGCAAGTGCTCGACAGCGGTTGAACACTTCAAATTTTGCTCGCTGCGCTCTGTCCCAGGAAAGGTACCACGATCCGATGCAGCCGTCATCGTTTTGGTTTCGTGGGCCGCTGGCTTGAAACATGACACTAGAGTCAGTTCAAAAGACAGAAGAGGCAGGTTGCAACGTGGGATGTCGAGAGACCTGGTGTTGCGGGACAGTGCTTTGTTATGCTTTGTTAGTCTGGTGCGACGTATTCAAAAGTTTGAGGCCAGGGTACGGCATTTCTCAAAAGCCTGGTCCCAACAAACATGATTATGATTTGCCTGGACCCCGCCAATCTCAAAACTCTACATGACACCATGGCCGTAAAGTAGGGACCTTTAGATGTTGGCAGTCCTCTTCCTAGATCCCCCGAGACCTAATCCATCTTCCAAGAACTCCCAGCATGGGATCCCTTTGTTGTCCAAGACCTGATCCCTGTACACCCTTTATATTCTTGGGTACAGCTCTTACTATATTCCCCCAGTTTCCATTTCATGTTCCATGTTCTTTTCTATTTGATTCTCCATTATATTATAGTGGGATAGTACCCTAAACCCTAAACTATAGGAATTCAGATTTCCCTTAAAGGGACCCCGAAACCATGTCAAGGTTACTGTGGTGAAGGACCTGGCCATGGCAGTTGTAGCCGGGACCATCCTTTCCGCTGCGTGTCTCAAAAAGCCTGGCCTTCATGGACTCTATTGGGATAATGGAAAAGAAACTGGAAACTACTATAGTACATTTAGGTTTTGCAGGGGTTTCAAAATGACGGGTACCTGTTTTTTAGTGTCTCAATAAGGAGGATTATGGCATTTTGGTGGTCCCTGTATCAATGGAAGCTGCCATGGTAGGTAGGTAGTGAATGCTGGCAGTGATTCCTGTAGCTACCCTACTTACGGTTGTCAGGAGTAACTAACATCATCTGATGGCGCCATAGTGACACGTAGAGGACTCACTAGTAGGACCTGCTTTTGTCTCAAAGAGCGGCGATTCCCTGACAAGGCAGCCATGCTTCTTGCCTGCCGTGCAAGGGCAATGGCACCTGTGGGTTATATTATTGTAGGTCGGGAGAGCTTCTATGTGGGAATGTCGCGACGGCGGCAGTGGAAGGCCCCAGAATAAGGAATGGAGGTGGTGGCTCGTGTCTGGCGTACAATCACGTTCCGAAGATCAGTGGCTTAAGAACTTGCTGAATTCAGATGCCCCCCAGGCATACAGGCATAGATATTCTTTTATGTAATCCACGTACCTATAATTGCATCGGTCTCAAGTGATCTTGCTGCAATTTGCAACGCTAGGCATTGAATACACAGGACGCTTGCCAAGCTTCAAGGCTTCCACGTGCCAAGAAAACCAATCCCGTGAACGTTTTAATGACCAGTACCGCGAGCCTCCACCTAGCTTGCTTGTCGATTGTGCCGTGTCCTTGACCCGAGGCATTGTCCTTCTCCTGGCAGCAAAGCACTAACTTGAGGGCTGACAGACAGGCTGGGGTGTTCCTTTCGATGACATCCTCTGTCAAAGTCACAATGCTGTCATGCAGCTGCCCTGTGTTGCTAGCCATGTGGCCATGCGTACGAGCTCTTGTGGGCTTGGGCTGTATTACGTATGTGATAGAACTCCTACCTTGCCTGTTTCATGTGTGCAGGTTCAGGGCGACTGGAAGACGTATCGACTGAGAGGGTTGCTCTTCTTCGGATCCACCCAGCAGTTCTCCGAAACTTGGCTCTGCATTGATTGGGCTGCTGCGTGCTGGTTTCCTGCTCACACAAGCAAGGACACGACCATGTGGCTTAATACCAGGTAGAGGACTCCCTGCATCATGAGAGAGCAGACGTTGAAACAGGACAGAGCAGACATTTTGGAGCCCTACTCCGAAGAGATTTCAGAAAGCCTTAATATCACTTCATATCTGATGTTACCTAGCCTCCTGATAATTTCACAGAAGATCTATAGCGCCTGAGTCGTTAAGGACATCTTCGCTGTGCAGGAGGACTTGACCGGAGATTTTCATGATGGTTGTGACCATGGTAAATCATGGTTCACGCGTATACCTTGTAAGTATGGCTCGAATTTCCATATTGCTTCAATATCCCAATATCACCCGTTATCCCTATATTAATGTACCCCCAATATCCCAATCTAACCCCAATATATTAATTAGTTTTTTCATTGTTTTGTTGGGGGATGCGCTGCGGACTTATTAAGGAGGATACTCAGTAGTTGAGACTATAACTCATGTAGTATCCTTGCTTGCAGGACCCAGAAGACGTCATCCTGGATTTTGCGGAGTCTCGAGTCCTTGACCATTCTGCACTGGAGGCCGCAGCCTTTGTAGAGCCGGAGGCTTTCGTATTACGATTTGAGAAGTGGAGGTTGGTGACTATGTTATGGGTTTAGGGTTTAGGGTTCAGGAGAATATTAACTTTGGGAGCTATATGGCATATGAGTAGCTTCCATTTTATTTCCCGATATCCCTATGTAACCTTAGATTATGCTTTGGCAGCCGTGTGTCAAGCATCCTGCCAGCATATTGACCGATTGCGATCCATTGAGCTGGCCTCGTTTGCGTCACATGTAGGATTCTTTTGCTCTCGTGGACAAAAGAGATGGTCGTAGCCTGAAAGTGTGTTTCAATAAAAGACACACCGAGGCATAACAGCAACAACAAAAAGATAAGCTTGATCTCATTGGCCACGTTCTGCTTTGTGTGACCTGTTGCAAAGCCTAGTCTGGCGTGACAGCTTCCCCCAGATGTTTTGGAAAATGCAGGCGAGAAGGACAGCCGTTCATTCAGAATACCGGTGGTCCCAGTAACATCAGATAAATTTGTAGCTATTTCATTAAACGGAAGCCATTAGTACCCCTAATGATGGTACATCCACCGCGCTCAAGTCATCAGGTACGGCACCTAAATTCCAGGCAGTCAACACAGAAACCTTGAAGTTTCTGTGTCAACAAAGCTGCATACATGAGAGTCTCCAAAGGCGACAGAGTCATCACCCCATTTCTGAAATGTCCGGCGGCCAACATCATTTTTGTCGGAGGTTCCGGGTAAAAACTTTGGCACGCACACTGGGCTCTGAGGCCGTCCCCTATGTATCCGCTCACGCGCTGGGACGTGCAGCTAGGATTCTTACAGAAACCTGATGCAACCCCTCGAGCGGCTTGTGTACGCGAGGCCATCAACTCCCTGGCAGCATCCTACGGCTTCTCGGCTGTTGCAAGAGGGAGCTTGGTAAAACCTCATGGTTGACAGATGAGAATGTGAGGCAGAAGCGCTTTCCGCAGATTCAGAATCGTTGAACCCCTGCATGGAGTAGCTCAAGGTACTTCCAAGTAGCAGTGATGTTGCAATAACGGCCACTGTGAAAGCCTTTGTTCCGAAGATCCTTTGCCAAAGCTATAAGACGTTTGACATCCCAGCACGCGGCTTGAGGAAGGTTCTTTTTTTTCTAAAAAAATCAGCTCGCAGACATTTAGACAAGACACTTATGGAATATACCCGCTTTTTAGCCTTACCACGAGTGGCTCGCAATCCGGACCACACCTCGCCGTCACTATCATCTTCACGATGATTGAGGGGTGATTTTGGCTGGTGTACCGGCATTGTTTGCTATCAGATGCTATCAGTACAGTAAGTTGCTGCCAGTGCATTGTTCCCGCTACTTCGGCAACCCAAACCCCAATCCTAAAGCAAGCAACCCAAACCTTTGACCCCAAACTTCCCCTGGGTTAAACCCTACATCCAAAACACCGAACTCTAAACCCCCAATCTTGAACCCTACATTCTAAATCTTCAACCCTATGCCCCAATCATTCGCATGATTCCGTCTAAGGCTGGAACCATGGGCCCCCAGTATGGTCCCTTAATCCTGGGGACTCTGTTTACCTGGTTAAGACCCTAGATGGTGAGGCGAACTGGGGAAGCGTCTCCATCTCCGCCACCTAAGCTCTGACTGCGCCGGGCTTTTGGAGCGCCTGAATGGCACCCAAGACGCAGACCAGCATAAGAATGAGTGTTTAGGGTTCATGCACTGGAAAACTGCGATCGCAAACGGATTCAAATTGTGAGTCCCGATGAGCCAAGCAATGCATTTAGAGCCTGGCCTGCCTTGCTTTGAGCTAAAACACACAAGGGAATCGGCTTCAGAGAGGCCATGTACAAAAGTTATACCGGCTCAGAACTGAGGAACCATGCCACCCTACGAGATCATAGAGGCCGACCCATCAACCGACCCGATCTATGAAGTCGCAGAGGACAGCAGATTTGACTCAGTGCGACGGCTTCAGGTTTGAATGAGGATGGGTCCACAAACCGCCCAATTGCCGCATAATGCTGTCGTATGAGCTTATCCTCGCTGCTGGACGTTGGTCACCCGACATCACCCTAAGCCAGATGAAGAAAGTGGATTTGCAAGAAAACAAATCGCAACACTCTCTGACAGGCCTAGACCCGAAACTTTAAACCCCAAACGCTAGAAAACCCCATATGCCCCTATCTGCTCCTTGCAACCCCTCTGATAAATAAACTCTAGACAAGCCTGAAAGGACAATAAGTTCTACAAAGATTTGGCCGCGCCCAGCGCTCCAAGCGAAGAGGAGCTCCATGCCATGCTCCTTGTGCTAAGCTGCATTCCTTTTGGTTAACTGGAGGTTAGTAGGGCACAAAGGAATATAGGGAGTATCTAGAGATTCTATGCCCTCATTCTGTACTAACCACCGGTAAGTTGGGTAGGCCTTGCAATAAGGATTCTAGTATATTGGGCTTTGGAAAAGGAACGGGATATCCCCAAGCAATGTAAGCGATCCATTCCCGAAGCCTGGGCAAGATTCTGAATCGGCAAGTCTGGAAACTGCAGGCTGCCTCCAAGTTCGATTCGTTTTAAAATCTGGTTCGAGGTTTCAGCAATGCAAGGTTCGGCAGTGAGCTTCAGCATCATGTTCGAAGCCCTTCGGCGCGTACCCTCCTGGGAAAAGTGAAAAGTGCCACCTGTCGAACATGCAGTTAGAGACCTCATGCGACGAGGGCGGGCCCTTGCGAGTATTTTGCACGAAGTCATAAGCTTCCATATCATTCTTTGTACCCCTCGTGGACTCACAGATGAGCCACCATGTATAGAGAGTGCGCAGCGCTGTGCAACAGGTGCTCCGTGTGGGCAAATTTCAAGAATTGACTTAGCTCGCCTGGGTTACGATGTGTTCTGGGAACAGCGTGTGATGCTCACACAATAAATCAGAGATTCATAAACCAGAGATTCGGCACATTGTCCTGTCCGACTGTAACAACTGTAGCAGGAACCGGCTGCTGCGGAGAGCGCGGACATCGATTAGTGAAAACTGCCCCCAGCTGCAGTCAGCGTTAGGCTTGTGCAGGGTCTCGTTCTCTGAGTTCGCAGGAACGTTGAAGAATGTGCAATGTTAATGGGCTCAGAAGGACGACATGCTTCAATACACGCTTTCTGGTTGTGGCTGTTGTTGCTGTTGCTGTCGCCGATGTTGTTGCTTGCCTGCGTTTTTTCCACGGGTTCAAGGTCAAACCTTGCCAGTAGCTTCCATGGAACTTAGTCCCCTGCAGGTGCACGGCAAAGAATTGGCCTTTACCACCCAAACGTCGGCGAAATAAAAGCCAACGAAGGAAGAAACCACTTGAAATTGTAAACCTGTCCAGGATAACACGAAACCTAAGTGTTTAAGCCCAAACCATACAACCCCAACCTTAGCTTTGAGCCCTCCACCCTCAACCCCATAAATCCCTCTTGAGCCCTGAATCACCTCCCCTCCCATCTGGAGCCCCGGGCCATGGCAAGCTATGGGACTAGAGGAGAGCCCTTCCGACGAAAGGCGTGGGGAGAATTGCCTTGATGTCTCTTACCTCGGCTTTTGGGAGGGGAGACTGTAGAGGCCTGAGGTATAGCATGGGGATTTCAGTGGGTAGTTTTCCGAAGGAAGGTCCCTCCTGAAGCAGGGTGACGTATCAAAGGGCGGCCTGCCCGCAATGGCACCGCTGTCCGCTGTGACCATTCTGGAATGTCCTTGAAGTGCTACTGAGTCCTAGGTGGCGCTCTCCGGGATTCACTGGGTTTTGAGTTCGCATCATAGGTTCATCCACCCTCGCGTGCAACCCTGTGGATAAAGATCCTGAAGCGTTAGGGTAGCGAAATGCAGGGGAAGACCCCAGCAGTGTGGCAGCAAGATTTGCTGGAATTCGCAGAGCTTTTCCAACATGGTAATGGCAATCATGGTACAAATGCCTCGTCCTACAAAAATGGATAGGACTGCAGAGCCAGTGTTCTCATTAGTCTAAACCATGGGGTGGTTACTTGGGGCAGTTTGGGTCGACCATTTCACGTTCCTGGCTACCCGGTACGACCCTTCCCGACAAAGAGTCCTTTTAAAGTTTCCTGGTTCGTTTAGGGGATGGTACGTTAGTACGTTACGGCTTCAAGAGTTGCAAATCAAGCTCCTGAAGTTCACCGGCCCCATTGTTCAGTCTTCGAATTTGTATGCAAGTTCTGTCAGGTTCCATAAATCATAATCATAGAATACATCACCATCAAGCCTAAGCAGTGGACCTCAAACTAGAAACGTTGACAATCCCATCCGTTTGGAGCTTGCCTGCAGCTGCTGGCTCAGCTTCGACGAAGGGCTTTCAGCAATGGGGAAGAATGCCACGAAGGCTTCCAAAACTACTCGCCGCATAACAAAGAAGACGTCCCCCGAGAAGGCACTGGCAAAGGAAAAGAAGCAGAAGAAGGAGAAAAAGGGTGGCAAGGGCACGACGCGGAAGAGCAGCTATGCCAAGAATCCTTACCAGTATTTCGTCATGTCCCAGCGGAAAGAGGTCATGTCACGTGCTGGCCTCGAGGAGACCCCCATGAACTTTGAGAAGATCGCCAAAGCACTTTCTGCAGCATGGCATGCCCTGAGCAAGCCAAATCGCGAGCCTTTCGAAGCCTGTGCTGCCCTTGACCGGTCCAGGCGCGACATTGATCAGATGAAGGGCGCCAGGCTTAGGAGCAGCCCGGACGAGTTGGGCTACCTGGTGAAAACTGCTGTGGAGGCTTTAGCGCATACTCCCCTGGACAGCTGCTCAGCAGCTGGGAAAGCTTCTGAGGATGTGGTGAAATCTCTGGAAGCCCTAGACAATAGGATTGACAATGCTGGCCGGGCCGCCGCTTGGCTTTTGCAATCAAGCTTGCATGAACCTGAGGCAGCAACAGTATAAAGGAACTGGAAGAGTGGGCTGCACCCCTTTTGCCTCCTCAATGCCGGCACTAAGGCAGCGGCCGCCGGCCTTCGCAACGGGCCAAAGTGTGCCGAGGCCTGGGGGATGCTCATGATTCCATCTGCCTATATCTCATACTTGGTGTTTTGTGGTGGTGCCGACTAACTTTTGCCATATCAACGTGATTATCGTTGAGAAGTAGAATGCTTGAAAGCATCCATGCTGTGAGGAGCTTAGGCATCAGGTCTATACAGTTAGGTAAACGCTTGATACAAGAGCCCTTGATCATGGACATCTTGAAATATTCCGTCCTCAATCGCTGTTTTATAGCAGCGTGAATGAATCCTCCTCGGATTCATGTCGCCCACTCGCCCCCATCTAATCCATGGATGAATAGTGACTAGAGGTCTAACCTCCTACAACCCTCAGTAGTCCTCTGACCACGTGTGCAAATCTTGCACAGCCCCTGCTACAACTCGCAGCCATTTGCGCGTACAATTCCATGACCCCATTCAAGCCAGATAATGCTTAGGAATAGATCCCTATAATTGGCCCTTTTGTTAATGATACAGTCGTTTCTATTTCCTTTTCCATTCCTTGATTTAGGATTGTAATGGCCAGAGGTTCTCCTGGCGGCCGGGGCTGTGGGCTCCGTGCTAGGAGGCCGGCTTACTGCCCTCATCCGGCTACCTGGCTGTCGTTTCATGGTGGTTTCTCAAGATGATGAGGTTCTGAAAATCGCGTCGAGTCCTTCGGCGGGAAAAACGCTGGGGTCCAGCCACTTTCTACTGGTAGTTTTTGCTGGGTTCTCATCCAATCTTCAAGACTGCAGATGCGTGTGCGATCCTTCAGTGTGCAGATTAATATGAGATCATGATTTCAGCGCCTCTATTAAGATGTTCAGTTTCAAGTCTGTGGAAGCATGAGGCTTGGACTTAAACAAAGGGAATGCAGACGGAAAAGTACGGAAGCATGAAGTGGTTCACCCCCCCCGGTAACCAGCCTGCGGATCGCTGAGAGGTTCACCGACTCCTTTTTGGGAATTTCGCGTTTGAAGGCCACAACCCTTACCTCCGTGAGACCGCTTCAGACTCAGAATATCAACAGCACCTCCGCTGCCATGTGTCATGCGCGAAAAGCACAAGATCCCAGCAGTGAAGCAAATAATCCCCACCACCATTTCAACTCAAGAGTTGGCATCTGGACTTACACCAGGATCCATTCATCACAACTCCACGTCCCACGCATGGGAAGGAAGTGGTCTGCTGCGCCCGCCGCGAAGCGAAGTCGAGCACCAAAGGAGGCACCCAAATCTCCTGCAGAGAAGCCGCCGCCAGCAGCCCAGGCCTCCTGGTCATATAGCTACTATAGTATTATAGTAGTATATATATATATTGGGGATGACAGCTATAGTCATCTATTGTCTATTTAGCATAACGGAAAAGAAAATGGAAAGGAGTATTTAGGGGTATAGTATAGGGGTAGAATATAGGCGGCGTTATAATCCTTAGGGGATTGACGCATCCCATTTTGACTTTTGTAGGTTCATTATACTGTTCAACTCCCCGACCAAGAAAGGTTTCATAATTTCAAGTGATCAAATTGAATCTGATTGAGGCGTGCTTGGACTCAAAGATTGTTCAGAGAAAGTCTCTTTCCTGAGGTTCCCATAGGATCATCAAAAGTCTTAGGAGTGAATGGTTGGGCGAAAGGCGCGACAAGCCCCATCGACCATGATGCCCACCAGCGCCCCACACTACTTCAAGACAACATGCCCTTGCCTGGCAGATTTGAGGGTAGCGGGCTGACCGCTACATACCAGCGCGAGCCGTTGTTGACAGTCGACACCAGCTAGCACGCATGACATGACCACACCATGCGTTATAAACTCTAAGCCACTGTGTCCCGAGAATCGCATCTTCTGCCTTGTGGATAGAAGCCTCGCAAGGCTTCGCCCACCGGCGAGGGTGGCAAGGCTCGGTTTCTGGCGCATAGGTAGACACGGGCCATTTTTGTGTGGATAAGGGCGCAGGGGTCGAGTCCGGCGCATGGCAACAGCAATCACAATATCAGCGCTCGTCACAGCACGCGTAGCCAATCACTGGGCTACTAGTGTGGGGACAAGCCTTTGCTTTTGAATAGGAAGCCGAAGAATGGACCATTTCAAGAAGTTGTCCTAAGAATGGTCTGACAGCTTTAGATTTCAAGCGGCGCAGGTTGCAGCATCCAAAGCAGACTTTGGCCCTACAACAACGACCAAAGCATGCCTTGCGCATGCACCGCACTAGAATCACTAGAGCAGATCATGGTATTTGGCGTTTTTTACCTTTTGGCATTCAGCCTTTTGGAATTCAGGAAGACCCGACTTATTTATTGTGTCAGGCGGATCCATGTACGAGAGTTAGGTCTTTTTGGCGCGTGCTCTATTATAGTTATTGCCGACAAGTTCCCCTGGTGGGTCAGAAGCTGACTCCGAGACCGCTTGGGCTTCAAAATCCGAAGGTGGCCCCGTCCGCTAAGGCTAAATATTGGTTGAAACAAGAACAAGCCAGGCCCCCCACTTGACCCCACCTAGCAACGCCAGAGCAAGATGTGTTCTTGTGATTTCATAGAGTCCTGCCGAAGCCATGACATCAGGGGAGTTCAATGGCATGGATTTCTATGGCCTACCATAGCGCAAACATTAGCTTTGGGCTTTGGGATGTAGGGAATTCTGAAGCCTCAACATGACCCGCAGGGCAACTAGCCTCGCTCACGCCCGCTAACTCTAGCTTTCGTGGCACTCTTCTCAAACTGACACTGAAATGAGTCCAAAGGTTACCTGGGATCAGTGTCAAAAGCATCCCTGCAGTAATGCAGGAGGGGGATGTGGACAAATTGCGCAGTCTGGTGGTTGGGAGCCCTTGCGGCATCAGGGGAGGGAACGGTTTGTTTAATGTGTGGTTTGATCATGACTTGATCTCAAATCAATGCTGAGGATTTGGATTGCTGTCTCCCAAACCCCAAAACTGAAGGACATGCTCAGGAAATAAAGGGCGACTTTTGCAGCGGTTTCTGCGGATGGTTTTGGGGCTTGGGGAAGCTTGGGAAGGCCTTTGAGAGCACGAATCCGCTGACGACACTGTTCTGAAATCCTTACTGATGTTTATACAATGTCTTTGGATAGATTTGGGCATTGCGGAGATTGCATTGGAAGCAGCTTTTGTGTAAAACGCTGGCGCAACAATTTCTATTGTCATGCCCTGGAATCTCCGCGGTGTATATTTAGCCAGTCATCGTAAACCAGGACTTCCAAGTTTGAAGGAATGCCTTCACCTTGGAACCCCTACAGGGAACTTTGGTTTTTGTGTCCGTCTGAACAGCTGGGTTTCCAAGCAGAGGGTTTCTCTCGTGGGTTGTTGGTACAACAGCACCTTTTCTAGGATTGGTTCCCTTAGCGGTTCGTAGCCTCAGAAATGCGAGTGTTTCTCGGAAACGCTCACCAGGCGTACTTAATTAGAGTATTGAATGCCTGAAGGCAATTCTAATCATTCGCTGCACGGTGGTCTGGGTGTGAACCACCAGTTCGTGCAGATCCTTTTGTTGTGGGGGCAGCGAACGAAGATATCGCAACCGCATGTATCACTATGACTGTAGCGTTCCTGCTAGGCAAATTTGTGATTAACCACCACATCATGGACTGTTCCAATGCCGGGATTGAGAAGCAGCCAATACAAGCTCCGCTGCGATCCCCCCAAAGCTATAAACCCAATATATACCCTATCATATGATAGTAGTTTCCATTTTCTTTTCCATTGTCCCTATATACCGCCTCTACAACCCTATATACCCTATTAGCCTATAGTAGTTTCCATGTTCTTTTCCACTATCCCCATATAATCCCTCTGCATCTTCTGATGTTTCACAATCCGGCCTGCCTTCCGGCATGACTGGTCATATGAAACCACAGTATATCATAGTTGTACCTCTCGGGTTGCTGACAGTTCCTGGTTTTTGGGCAGCTGTGGTAGACATCCAAAGCTGCCATTCCCACACCTCTTAAATCCCAGAAAAAGAACATGGAAACTACTATAGTACAGTAGAGTATATAGGGTTGTATGGGCAGTGTATAGGGATAATGTAAAAGAAAATGGAAACTACTATAATATAATGGGGCAGCTTGACGTGTCAAACATTTCAACGCCGAGAAAAGGATGCTGATGCGCACTGCCGGCCAAAAGTTGGGCCAAGCTTCTTTCGATCTTTGCCAGAGGTGCTCCGGCCCAAAAGATGCGCAATCTCGGGGTTAATTTGCTTCAGATTTTGGACCGCCACGAAATTGAGTGGAATCATTACTGAAAGCAGGAAAGAATTTGTTGGTTGAGCTTCGAAATTCTCCAGGGTTGAACTTGCACTTGCGTGTGCGGGAGGAAAATGCGGAGAACCATTTTACCGTTGACCTCTTCATGTCCCTGTGATGGAAGGGTTTGGGGCTGCACGGAAGCGTCTGATGCCTTTCGCTAAGATGGGACAGTGTGGAAGTGGAGGTTCTTGTCGCAAGTGCTGTAGGCCATGCAAAGGGTGTACATACAATGTGTGTTTGCATGTTACGCTCAGGATCGAGGGCTCGCTGTTCCGGCAGTTTGGCGACAATGCCAGGGAGTACCGGCAGCGTGCACGCAGCAGCTTGCCCGCAAAAGCGGACGGCAATCAGGGATGGAACACCCTATAGCAACCTGCAAAGGAAGATTCACTGAAGGCCTGCCACTGGTTTTCGGCGGGTTCCTTTTGATTTCACTTGATATCCACTGATGCGTAGCATGGTCCCTGCTTGCCTGCAGGACGACATGACATTGTGATAGGATGAAGGAAGGGACGTCGACGTTGCACCCAAAGCCCGCTTGCGACCCTGCTGCCCTAGGTTTTCTGTTCCTTTGTCAAGGCTTGTTTTGCTGTTTGGTGGTTGTGAGGCTTGAACGTGAACATTGGCCGTCCAGACAGCCGCTTGCTACAGAAGGCTGGTGTTCTGGTGTCAGGGTTACAGGTCTCAGGTCCAGGCCAGGTTTCAAGTTTGGGGATCAGGCTTTGGGGTCGATTAGGGTTTTTCAGGGTTGGGCTCTCGCCTGTAGTTGAGCGGCGGCCAAAACCCCATACGAAGGAGTTTTATAAGACGGTTCTCATATCGATGCTGGATGTT